AAATAATCAAGTAGGGCATCGTTCTTCTCTGAAAGTGGAAATGAATTCGTGACTAAATTTGAGTTTCTAGCTCGTGAGTTATCATAAGATAGATAGTCACTTCAAGTTGAGGATTGTCTATCAAATTGTGTTCAAGGAATAACAACGTTTCCATTAATACAAGCTCTAAAACTTACTATCAAAAATTTAGAAAAATGTCAAGAGAGTCAAATCCGGTGATCTCGGAGGCCATTTAATGGTTTGCTTCTGTCAGTCTATCTGTTTGGTAATTTCTCTTTGACCACTCTGCCAGTAGGAAAAAATAATTAAGTAGAGCATTGTTCCTCTCTGAAAGTAAAAAGAATACCTGACTGAATTTGAGTTTATAGCTCGTGAGTTATCATAAAGTAGATAGTCACTGCAAGTTGAATTGTTTACAACACTTATCTTCTATTTCCACTCGCGACTGGCGTGCCAACTAGACTTACTGTGACAGTCTAGTCGAAATTCGGAGAGCTATACAAACACCGCCATTATACTATCCGAGCGGCCGAGCTCAAACGATCGTTTGATAATTTATGATTTAAACATGACAAACCAACAATCGTATGATAATTTAATGTTTGTAGACAAGGGTAATGTTAACTTTTCTTTCTTTGACCTGCTCCATGCTTAATTTATTTTTAAATATGTCTTAAATTTTCGGGGGGGGTCCGGACATCCCCCATTCGCTACGCCACTGCGCTCTTCCATTCAGCCTACAACATGGGAAAATGATGAGCCTTTTGAAAACATCCCAAAAAAAACGAGATATTACAGAAAAACCACATCAAAATTTTCATTTTGGTATTATTGATAAACAATCTTCTCATTTTCGAAATAGAAAAACGTTCATTTATCGTGTTTCCCAATAATTTATTGCTTAATAATAATAATAATAAATATGCTTTATTGTCCAAACATAAACTCTTATTGACAAAGATTTGGTGAACATTTTGAGAAAGAAAAAACATATTCAAGTGATGAAATCAGTCCTACCATAAAAATAAAAATTTTGAATGTCACATTTTATGAAAAACATTGGTTATATACAATATAATTGCAATATAAACAAAATAACATATATATACACACATACACATACAAACACAAAAATAATTTAAAAAAATAATGTATAGAAATAAATGTGTATAAAATATGATTCTGTATGAAATATGATGAAATTAAAAATATGATTAAAATTCTTGAAAACTATAGTAGGGCCTCTCGATAAGAAAATTAAAAGATAAAACTTTGGTTTTTGAGACATTGAAAGCTAATAAATTTGCCTTGCATCAATCTGAAAGTTCAGAAATATCAGAGCAAATGGCATTATTTAGATCATTTGTGTTGGTATTGCGCCATAATATTGTAGTGTCGTCAGCGAATAAAGTTTGAACGTAATGAGCGTCGAAGTTCTGCCTCACCCAACTTACTCCCCAGATCTTTCGCCAACCGACTAACATATTTTCAAGCACTTCGATAACTTTCTCACCGGTAAAACCTTCGCCACTCAGGACCAGGCAAATCGGTCTTCGTGACTTGACTTAATCGAATCTTGAGAACATAATTTTTATTCTGACGGGATTAACTGACTTGTGTTCCGTGCACTGATTCAAATGGCGCTTATTTCGAATAAATTAAATAAGTATAAGCATATTTCAGTTTGAAATGAAAACGGTCAAAACTTTAGAGACAACCCAATATCAGATGATTCATTTTGAAACCGTGAAATATAACTTTCGGATGTCAAAGTCCTTTTTTAAAAATTAATTTTATTAACAAAAATTGATGTTAACAGTATGAGAGCAAAATTATAACTGAATTACAAAAGTATTCTTCCCATGAAGATAAGAATGCTTGCACATCAGTTTCCCAGAATCGCGAGATTCTGCTTCAGCATGGTCAGCGGTTCACATGGGAACGGGCGATATAATTCGTGTCAGGGAATCTTTCAGTTGATGTATAATAACACTTTTTATTCAAAGACGATCTAGATAAACCACCTCTGGTGTAGAATAAATCCATATCAAGCACATTAATCAAACACCAGACCTGCAATACTCTATTCGACGCGCGTTTCACCAATCAAATTGGCCTGCCTCTTCATGATATCAGGTAAACTGATCTAAATGAAAACTTGATGATCTGAATTGGATCTTTTTTGTGAAATATACTAACCTATTATCATTGCTGACGAGCAAGTAAAACCATCTCCTTGGAATCCAGGATTACAAATACATCTAGATTTTCCCAGCGACTCATCATAAGTACAAGTTGCTTGGGGATCGCAGTTGTCTACTTGGGTGCAAGAAACAAATTCGGGTTCACAAGAATATCCAGTTCCTTCGAAACCGTCCTTGCAAACGCATTCATAAGTGTGCAGGAAGTCAGAATAACTGCAGATGGCGTCCGGGTGGCAATTGTTCTTAACATCACAGGATTCTGAAACGAACAATAAATAATGAATCACGTAATATGACACTTCAACTCTTTGAAAATGTTTTTCGTGTTTCAAAACCTTTTCCATGTTATTCTTTTCTCAAGTTATAATTCATGTTAGGAAAATACAATGTATAACAATTCAAACTAAACAAGCCGTTCTACTTATTATTGTTATTTAAAAAAAATACAAGGATACTGATAATTTTCACAATATTCCTTTTATGGAATAGGAGAACAGAAACTTATATCTGGGTTGAAAGTTGAAAACTTTTAACGCAGGTTTCTTTCCACACAAAGCCTATTTCTATATTTGTTTTTTAAATACACCTAAGTGGAGAATGCCCCAGCTCCCTTAATGCTATGTTCAAAAGAAATGGATACTCTTCCCTAGACTTGATCCAAAATGGGAAAAACAATTCAAAAGTATTAAGTGTTTTTAATCTGTTTTCGCGACCCACCCAAATTGCTCCCCATAGTTTGAGAACCACTGCCCTATAGTAATAAGCTGAAAAGAGGCAGAAAATTAATATTTGGAAAAAAATGCCAGCTTCAATGTATAGAGTACAAAATTCTATATCAAACAGTATCTGTATCTGTAGAGTAGGAAGGGTAAGTGTACACAGCACACAGCACTTAGGCCACATGTGACCCATTGTACATCTTCCCGAAAAGTTGTCCTCCTAGGTCATTGTCCATCATGTCCTTTCCAGGGAGGTGGACAGGTCACTTGGAGACATGTCCTTTATATCGGCAGGTGTAGGCCAAGAACCGCCGAACACACACACTCTCTTATTGACGATAACTCCGGGCACTCGCATAGGACATGCCTGTCAGTTTCATCTTTCTGTTTACTGATACTGCATAGAGGTGTGTCCACTAGCCCCATATTATGGAGATGTTTCCTTAGTTGACAGTGGCCAGTCAGAAATCCTACTGTTAAGCGTAGGTTTTTCCTGGTCATCGCCAGATATTTCTTCGGCGCCAGCTTCCTAGGGTCGCCCAGGGTGATCCTGGCAAGATTGCATCCTTTGATTCCATCCCATCTCTTTAGGGATTGAGCATGGGTGTAACATTTGGCTAGTTCCGCAATCGTCGAAGTCATCAGGCCGTAGGTGCCACTGGGTCCTAAAATTCTTAGTCCAGCCGCTTCCTTGGCTAAAGAGTCAGCAATGCGATTACCTTTACCCCTGTCGTGCCCTTGAACCCACCTCAGGATAATTATTATCTACCGAAGCTTTGGCTAAATCTTGGTGGCACTCTAGTACTAGCCCTGAGGTAACACGTTGTCTGTGGCGATTGAGATACCAGCCAGTTCTGTTTGGACCACGCTGGTATTTTTCCCATTTCCCACGTAATTCTTAGGCTTAGTGATCTGAAGTACACTCCACATCCTGAAGCTTCCTTGGTTTTTGAGCCGTCTGTATATATATGTATTGCATTTGTAGCATCTGACTCTGTGTTCTGTTCTATTTGTATTTCGAAGGGTTTATTAAACCCAAACCTGGGTTCAATTACATCACGCGCTGCCTGCAGCAGAGATTGCGCAGCGAGCTCTTCTCGCCATAGACTTAGCCTCAATTGATCCATTCCTACTTCGAGGTTTACACCATCCGTGCGCAATTATAACATGGTCATTAACGCAACCTCCTTAACGTACAGGTCCAGAGGGGTCAGACCCGTAATTAATTCCATTGCCGCGGTTGGTGTTGGTCTCATGGCTCCTGTGATGTTTAAACAAGCCAATTGCTGTATTTGATATATTTTTTGGATGGCCATTGCTTGTAGAACTTTCGGTCCCCATGCAATGGCTCCGTACGTTAACGTAGGTCTTATTACTGCAGTGTAGATCCGATCCAGGTGACCACACGGGATGAAAGACCCCATGCGCGTCCCACTATCCTCCGACATTGATCATAAGCCACATATGCTCTTTTTGCTCTACTCTGTAGGTGAGAGTTCCATGTTAGCTTCCTGTCGAGGATAGTACCAAGGGATTTCACCTCTTCAGAGAAGTTTAGTTTGCTTTTGAAGACTTCGGGAGGTTTTAAGCCCGATAAAATTATTTTCCTGGTGAAAAGGACCATCTCAGTCTTCTTTTGCATGCTGATTTGGATGAAGTGGGTTGTGAACTAGTGCTTCATCTCTTATGTACCGCTCACATAGCCTCTCCTTAGTTTTTAAGAAGAACGATGAGAGACTAATTGGTCGGAATGCTTTTGGTAAGGTGTAGTCCATCCTACCTAGTTTGGGTATAAATATCAAACAGTATATACCGGGACACAGTAGAATAAATATTTGAGATTGAAAAGGAAAAAACTTTTGAAACAATCTAACACAATATTCTGGGATAATTCTGTAGATCTCTACCCTGTTCTCAAAGAAAAAAGTATGTTTATTGAGAAATGAACACAAATAAATTTGAATGGTTTTTTTTTACAATTTATCTGTATCATAAGTTTTCTCTAAAATTCTAAATTTACTGACAGTGTTTCAAATTTCTACAATTCTGTTTTAATTTTCGATATTTATATTTTTAGAGCTTTCACGGTACAGCTGCCTTAGAACAGCTTATTAGTTCCGAAGAAGAAGATGATATGACCTTGTCTGCTGATGAGGGTTTCAGTCCCCCAACGCCCAGTCCATGCGAATTGAGTCCTGCAAGGGCCTCTCTCAGACACGCCTTATGGGAGCGCATTCGACACTAGATTGAGGTTATTTTTGATTCGAACGGTCTGTTACCACACTATATATCGCTGTTTAGAAAAATATGTACCTTACTGGCACGAGTTGAAATAACCTCTTGTATGTAGGTAATGTATTTTCGGTTTGCGAGTCATAATACAATTCTGTGATCCTGGGGTTTGTGTGCAAGGCAAAAATAAAATAATGTTTTAACATTTAGCTCAGTGAACAACTAAGAAAGGTGATCGAACATTTTCATGGTCCAATTTGAGACTTGGTTAGTCACTTGTCATTCTGAAGTGAAAAGTTGTTTGTTTGATTAGCCACGTCTATCTTCTTGGATCCAACTAGCTTGTGCAAGAATTACTGTGATATTTGACCTTAGTTTACTAATTACTAAAACTCAATTACCCAATAAGGATTACAAAGGATAACCCCGATTCTCAATATGTATCTCGAACTGCGGAATCATTACCTACATACTGTGTTAATTTTTTGTTTGTAGTATTATTAGTCTATTATATTGAGCATATCATCACATAACTTCTTTATACATTCATTTTTTCTAGCAACATGATAATTTAATTTTTTGTTATGATTTACCCCATGCTGTTTGATGTTTAATGATTTTGTGAGAATAATACTGACTTGGAATTGTGTCATATTGCGAACTGCTTATTTCAATTCGTAATTTACCACAGTTACAAAACTGTTCAAGGATTTAGAGGCTGGACTTGCATATGTTATTAATTGAAAATTGTTAACAAAGAAAATTGTTTCTATATTGATGTTGCAAACAAACGATAAATTACTTAATGGTAATCATTTCACCACAGTATCACTTGCTGCTGGGTCGGTTTTTATCACTCTATTGGTTACCAGAATGAAGAGTCCTCCAACTGATCTAGTCAAGGTGAATCCTTGGTTAGTTCAACTAATAAAATGGTTACCGTACTGATTCATCCGTTCATATTTTTCTCATATTTTCTCTTCCACTTCCAAAAAAATAGCATACTTCTTTGTATGTTTCTTATTGAACGTATGCTATTTTTCTCGGTGTTTTAGCATTAGGCGTGTATGATAACCGAAATGTGATTTTATAATCTGAGATTACTTAGTATGCAGATAGTTATTTTTATTATTCTATGTTTAGGTTTTGGTATAAATTCTAAAAGCTTGTTATTCGAAAATGCAATCACAATTTATATTCTGAGTATATTGAAAATTTTACTGAATGAAATTTGTTCTGCGAATATTTTGAGCTCTGAAATTTAGAACATTGATTTGTTTAGCCAATCGAACGAGCTGTTTTTTGTGTTGCATGTGTTTACTATTATTGCTTTACAAATACAATGTCTTGAATTGATTACTCTTTTATTTGTATTCTAAAAAAGTTTATGATTACAGTCGTTCATCTATCTACTGAGAAACCTACTGTTGATGAAATGTATTACATACAACATTTACTAAATAAACTGGATAATCCCGATACACCAAAAATGAAGATGTTGAATATAAGTTAGAATAAACACCCTCTTGAGTATGCTGTCTCTAGAATCAACAGAAAAACTGAATCTAGTTCTAAGATAGATTAGATATATGCTTCATTTACCTTTAAATTTCCGTTACAGAAGAAATATACGGGGCATATTCAAAAAATTAGGTGAATTTTAATTTTTCTCAAAGTATATTCATTCAATTTCTATGTTGTTCCCTTCAAAGTACTCCCACACAGTGCCAGTGCTTTTTCCAATTCTCGAAGCAGCTCTGATATGCACTTTTTGGTATGTCTCGGTGATTCGGTTTTATCTCCTCAATCGTCGCAAAACGCCGTCCTTTCATGGGCTCTTCGATCTTGGGAACAGGAAAAATTCGCATGGGGCCAAATCTGATGAATACAGTGGCTGAGATTTGATTGAAGTGTTGTTTTTGACCAAAAATTAATAAAAAGCAATGACGAGTAAGCAGGTGCATTATGGTGATGCAAAAGCCATGAATTGTTTTTCCATAATGCTGGACGTTTTTTTTTCGTATTGCTTCTCTCAAGCGGCGCATAACTTGATGACAATAGGTACTCTTAATTGACCGTATGACCATGTGGCAAGAACTCCTGATACACTACGCCATGTTAATCGAAGACAACAGTGAGCAGAATCTTGACATTTGATCGAACTTGGCGTTCTTGTTTTTGTCTTGGCTCTCCATTGGAACGATTGAATTTTGGTTTCGATGTCATAACCATAAACCCATAATTCGTCACCAGTTATGACCCCTTTTAAGTAAATTTGGATCGCCGTTGACGTCATTCAACAACGGGGAATGTTCTCCTGACGAAAATCAAGTAGTTTTCATAAAAGAGCTCTAAAACAACGCATTTTAAACTTATCATTTCAACCTTTTTCTTTGAAAAATTATTTAAATACTTGAAAAAGAGGAATGAAATAATGCATTCAACATTTAAAGAGATTCGCCATTATTTCACCATTTGGCACCATCGGTTATAGCTAATAAAGGACAATGAATCTGTTACCTGTATGAGA